GATGTTCGGTCTGAGAAGTTCAGCCTTATTGAAATAAAGAGAGCTGTTGGAAGAGCAAATCCTTTAGGGAGTATGGTGAACTGCAATGGTAAATTAGGTTTAATTATGTGTGAAAATAATGGAGGAAAAGTTGTTACGATCCGTAGAAGAAGTTCAAAGATTAAGTTGTGGGTTTTAGAAGATGTTGAGAAACATGAATGGTCTGAGCGTGTTTATGTATTGCCTGCTTCGTGGAAGAATGTAGTTGGGAAACACTTGTTAAACTTTGTTGGGGTGGCGTCGACTAACGAGATTGTGTTGGCCTCGTGGTGGCCAACTAACTGTTCCTACCTCATCTACTTCAATCCTGAGAGCAACACTCTCATAAGAGTTGACATTCAAGGACTCAATGGTTCGTATCAAGCCTTTCTAGACCATGTAGAGGATGTGAAGCTCTATCCAAAGGTACTTAAGGTGACTTCATGACTACTTGTTTCTCTCCTCTACACTATATCTTATCATTATATGCCTATTTTATGTGGTCAAGGCTTCCATGTAGTTCAACAAAATAAACTTATGTATAAAAGAAATTGACTTGCAGCTGTGTTAATTATCATATACCTAAGTACAAGACCTTTCCCTATGGAATGCATCTGATTCTCATATGCTTTGTGGCATGTATGTTCTTTTATCACAAAGCATGCCATGCCTCAACGAAATGATAGAAAAATAAAGGGAAAATCGCATAAAAACTTTCAAAGTGACAATCACTTACACTTTAAACCATGAGAGTAAAAAAAAGAAACAAACCGACACACGTCATCGTTTTTGAACAGTACCGGTTACATTTTTGATTTGATATACAAGTAAGCCAGATTGAAGGTTTAATATGCAAAATTTGCCAACTTGAATGTTTAAAGTGCTTATAAAATACTATCAGGATTTAAAGTGTAAGTGACTGTTAACTTGAAGGTTTTTAATGCGATTTTCCCGAAAAATAAATGAAATTATATAGTTTCACTGTTAGTTTACATTTAAAATAATACATGACAAACTCTGTGAATGAATGCTACTACTGTTGGGGTAACATCTTGTTGGTACAATCAATCACTTCACTTGCCTCTAGCTCTACTACCTCAACGAGCAGCTCATGAGCATTGCCCAGCCAAACTGGAAATGTCTTCTCAGAATTTCCGCCGGCTTCTCAGTTTTTTGCTCGAGAAGGGGATGGGAGAGATAAATCTATTTGCCTCCAAGAACTGCTCAATCAGTCTGCAAGAAAATCATTGTTTCTATGAATCAGAACTTGAAGCAAATCCAGAGGAAAAAGACATAATCCTGGCTACTTACACATTGCAGATTGACTTTTGTGAAGCTGCTACTTCTCGGTCAGGGAATGAATCCTCTAGCCTTAAGCTTAACCATACGTACAGATCCAAAACCTGTTTACAAAACCTATCTAGTTAAAGCTTAAAAAAATCCAAACATTTTTCTCTAAGTTTTAATTAATGAACAACTAGGAAAAGAAAGTAAATCAAACCCCCATCTATATATGTTACCTTGTGAATGGATTCAAGTTCCTTGAGCTCTGTTGGTGTTCTGGGAACCTTAACTGTGTCATCTGAAAGTATCTCTCGGAGCCTCACCACACGTGTCTTCGAGTAGTTTTGAGCAAACTGATGTATTGATTTTTTAAAAAAAAACATAGAACAAATTGTTTTACATGCGCAAATACCATTATTGATCTTCCAAAAGAAAAAAGACATAACAGCTTATACCTGTGCAAATCCACGACCTGATATTTCATCATTTATGTCAACTGGACTGCATAAAATAAAGTTTGATCAAATCTTAAGCTTGTTTCCATCTGAGATTTTATTAAATGCAGGAAAATAAAAAAATGCTAACTGCTGCTACTACCTGACAACGAATAGGTACTTGTCTTGCAACTTAAGGGGTAATTCATCAACAAGAGCCGCAGCTTTCTGAAAATTGCGACCAACACATGTTAAACACACATTATTATCTTTCTGATGTGTGAACAAAAGTAGATCATCACTGAGTTTTACCATCATGTCTTCAACATTAGAGATGAAGTAGTTTGAAGATAACTTTGCATTTTCAACGAAATGTTCCTGCCAAAGTTAAAGAGCTATGGTTTCAGATCCAGTGATTAAGGACCGAGGACAGCAAAGGAAATAAATGTATTCTTCTTACCAATATCTTGTACAATCCGAGTTTAGGGTGTGCTTGTGAATATCTAGAGAGGAGGTCATATGTTGGAAACAGTCCAGCACGCTGCACGATAGAAGTTTTGTGCAAACTAAGCCAATCATAAGAAGGAACTAATCTTAAGGTTATAAAATAAAGATTACCTCAATAATAGGTGAAGGGGACTTCAACGAAGAGTGGAGCAACGGAAGATCCTCTTTATACAAACAAGTTACTTCACCAACAGGAAACTGCGACCGGAATCTACCAGCTCTCCCTTCAACAGAATCATGAGAACATTAGAAAGGATAACATATGATAGACACTAGAAACTATTCTCCTTTTATTCAGTATTCATTCTCTGAATCCCATAAAGAAGACAAACAGAGAAAAAAATTGAAGCGAAGAACCAAAGATAGAACCCTAAGGTGAAAGTTAGAGCACCCCACTTTCCTAGGCCAAAACCAAGATCCTAGACCAATCCTCTAGCTTCCCTTTTCATCTCTCAACAACCGATAATGTATATTTCTGAGCAGGAAAATCTACACTTCCAGTCACCACCCTACTCTAGTTCTACCCTAAACTTGACCATAACACCTTATTAACTTAAACATACTAACACAGCTCTTGAACTGTTAATTGAAATATATTTTTTTTGAAACATACCTGCAATTTGTTTAATCTCAGATACTGTCAGGTCTCTGGTCTCGGTACCATCAAATTTTTCAAGGGTCGAGAAGATAATTCTTGAAATATTCAAGTTAAGACCCATGCCAATCGCATCGCTGGCAACAAGCACATCAAAGTCATTGGTCGCGTCATTAAACCTTGTTGCCTGCAGTTCTTGAAGAATTTAAATACAAATAGAGGAGAAACATATATACACTCTTGAACAATCTAGTGAAGTCTCAAATTCAAACCTGTGCTGTACGAGTCTCTGGAGGCAATGAACCATAAACCACAGAGCAAAGATGCTTCCCCGCCTTTTCAATCGTGTTCTGTCACAAATATTACAATATGAAGATGTACAATAAATATATCAAGGCAATATGTATAGAGAACTATTTGAAATGCAAGAAGAGAGTACAATAGAAACAACTGCTAACCTTGTGCTTATATATATCTTTCCGTGAAAAGGTTACAAGACAATCCCCAGTTTTAATATCGGAAACTGACCGAACTGGAACCTTCAAAGGGACTAAAGGTGAAAGCCTCTCATATGTAATAACCTAAATACAGAACGAAAGGGAGATGAGATCAATTCATGATTAAATCAGGACATCTAGCTTGAATAAAACATGGTACCTCAACATCATCTCCAGTTACTTTCAGTATGTCCTCAACAAGAGGTACAACAGCTGGATCACCACATAAATGTAGTTCATTAGCTGCAATCCCAAGAAGAGCACGAGTAAATGAAAACCCCCTTTGTTTACATCCCACCATCTAAAAAAAGGTAAAAAAACAGAGTTATTGTCAATCTCATATTCAGCAAAAAAAGTAAGAGAAGCAGCAAAGACTAGCCTGAATCTCGTCAATGACGGCACAATCGTAAACAGAGGTAACATCAGCCATTTCAACAGTGACAGCTTTGTGATTAGCACCTTCCACTAACTCTTTCTCTTGTCCCGTGACCAAATCACATGGAACATTAGCTTTGTTTAACCGTTTAGCTACCTCCCATGCCAACAATCTTAACGGACCACAATATACACCTTTCAAGTAAAACAAAGCAAATCTTTAAACAGTTTCAAGAAATGGTTTAAGTAGAATACACAAACCTGAAGAACTCCGCTCAAGTTGCTTCAAAGCATTATATGTTTTGCCACTGTTTGTGGGACCAACGTGAAGAATGACTTTACGCTTCTTCCTCCGAGCAATTGGATACCATGTATGAGGACATCTGAAAAAAATTGACATGAACATAAATCAATCTCTCTCCACAACAACAAATCATATTTAAAATCTACAAAAAGATGTTGTGGTGTTACGTGAGATCAGTGAAATCAAAAGATGAGGTAGCTCCAGAGCCAGTGAAGTCGTAGTTAGAGGATCCTAAGATCTTTCCGTAGTTCCTAGTGAAGAAGACACCTAATCTCAATAACTGAGGTTCCAAGTGAAACCGCGACAAACATGTTTTATCAGCTGAAACACGAAACTATCATATAAGAAACACAACACATAACCAATCCAAGTGGAGAAGCTACAGAGCTAAAATAAAAAAAAAAGGTAACATATTGCGAAATTTCAATATAAAAGGTTGACTATTTCTATGTGAGTAAATTTTAGCCGTTTCAAGTTATTTTAGGGGAGAAAAAAAAAGAATAATAGGGTTACGAAGATTGGACCTTGAAGAAGACGAGAAACGCCTAAAGATGGAACCTTTCGAAGTCGAAGAAGAGAAGACGCCATTTTTTAATATATATTTTTGTTTGGAATTGATGAAAAGTAGAAAAGGATCAATTTTTCTTAACAGGAAGGGTTAATGATGATTTGCAGTCTCCAATGAAATAGGAGAGTACCATTGTTAGAGCTGATTCTTCTCAGAGGTCGGCGACTTAGCAAAGCAAGCGGGAGAGAGAAGCAAACGAGAGGTTGCTTCCAGCAAATTCATTCTTTATTTGCTAATATAACCCTACATTTGTTCTTTACTCACTTACGCTCCCAAACTTTAGAAAATAGACATTTCAACCTTAGTCCAATTTAAGTAGGGGCCAGATATGTCTAAAATACCCCTAACTCTCTAGCTTGTTACGTAGGGCTGCTGTTCGGTTTGGTTAATTTGAATTTTTGGATTTTCGGTACTTGACATGAAGATCGCGTTAGAGTTTTATAAAATTTCGATATGGAATTGGTTCAGAGCATTTGGTTACAGCTCATGCTTCTCACTCTCCACTATAGTCTTAGACAAGCATTACCGCAACAACATGTGAGTTGAAGAGGCCATCGAATTAGTCGACAAATGCATATTTGAGATCAGGCCGAGGCTGGTCATTGCACCACTCAAAGCCGGATCTGAGCCCAAGCAAAAGAAGCATGGATTTTCGGCCGCAAGTAAATATCAAAACACATTTTGTTAAAAATATTTTTAGTGTAGTGGTTAAACAATTTATCTCCCTGCATCTGAATCATGATTCAAGGCCTATCACCAACATTTCAGACATTTTTTTATTTTTGGCTTCTAGCTTATAGAATCTTAGAACCGGTACCAAACTTTGTGATCAAGATTGTCGACAAGGATGGAGCTCGCCAGCATGCTTGGCGTCAGTCTGTACAAGATGTAACCACTGCTTCTGTCTAAGTATGTTATGTTGGTTTTTCTTTTTTTTACTACATGTTTCTTTGATATTGAACTTGGATAATTAGTTCCCATATATGACTGTTTTTAAAAAGCAGCTTAGTTAAAAGTATATTCACAGAAACGTAATCATTTTCTCTCACATTACATAACCTCCATTAATTTGTGATATCAGAAAGAAACTTTAAACAAAAATGTGTTGGTCATCCAGATTAAGCCACCTCCTTAATTTCGTCTTTTTCTACGGCATGAGTTCCTTATTTAATTTAGTTGTTCTCAAAACATTCAAACACAAACCATTAAACTCAAAAAAAGCCAAATTAAACAATCTTTTGAGAGATACAACACAAGAAAAAACATGAAACATGGAATGTGCTTACTGTTGCTTTTAGTTTCACTGGCGTTGATGTCCACGGTTTCAGTGGCGGTGATATCCACGAGCTGCACAGATGTCCTAATCAGTATGGCGCCATGTCTCGGCTACATCACTGGAAACTCTTCTTCTCCTTCTCAACAATGCTGTGGTCGGTTGGCTCACGTTGTCAGGTTTTCTGCTGAGTGTTTGTGTGAGCTTCTCAAAGGTGGACAACCTCATCTTGGTGTCAATTTTAATCAAACACAAGCTCTTGCTTTGCCTAAAGCTTGTAATGTTCAAACTCCTCCCATTAGTCGCTGCAACGGTAAGAATAACCTCTGTTTTGGTGAGATCATTTTCTATTAGACTGAATCTTTTTTGTCTCTCACGGCATTAAGAGGTTGTTATTTTTTTCAGATAATTCTTCAGTTAAATCGCCTACAGGATCATCAAACACTTCAGGTATAGGGGTAACTTGCATAAAGACTAAAGAACTATCGGTTTTGGATGAACCTAATTGTAACTTATTTTCAACGAACAGAACATGGAAATGTATCAAAAACAGTTCCAGGACATGGGTCATCATCATCTCATGGGAGTTCTATCAAGTTCTCATTTCCTCTTATGGCCATCTTTTCTGTGGCTTACTACATCACAATATACTCAAAAACTGACTTTTAAAAATCCATAAAGCTTTTGGCATCTTTGAAGAACATATTCTTTATTAATCTCTATTGAATCTCAGTGTACTGTATTATGGTGTTGTGTGATGTACTTTGTGCTCTATAAAATCCCTACTTTCTGGGTGATAGCGGTTTGTAGCTACAACGAGTGTCTTGTATCTGTTTGAATTATGTAATAAATATTACTTTCTATGACATGTCATTCTTCAAAGGAGCCCATCTCCAGGTGGAGTGCCGAGAGACTTCTATAATACTTTCTCAACCCAAAAAAACAAAATTCCCACATGTTGATAACTATAGTGCTATGAATAGAAATGTATGATGTCGAAGGTATAGGACACACATTTAAATATGGCTTAAATCTGGAAGACAATTAGTGGCAAGAGTCCAACAAATGTCTAGCTAGGGAGGTCAAAGCAAAAATGGTAACGGATATTAACTAACACCTACATTTTAATCAAAGCTTGTCTGCCCACAAAACTCCCTTTTTGAAGTGATGCCGACAGCCAAAAAAATTCATCTTCGCACATGCGACATGCCAAACATCTGCAAAATCGACAAAATCTACAATATTTCGTATTAGATCTTGTGAGTATGTCCATGGTTCAACTCCTGAGAATCTATCAGGCTGGCTCTGAGCCAAACCGGATGAGATATTGGTCTTTGACTCCTAATCTTTTTTTACATGTACATAAACTCTTAAAAAAAACTTGTTAAGTCCCTAAATCCGTAAACAAAAAAATTAGATGAAATCGTTAAAAATGGTTTAGTCCCTGCCTAAACAATCTCATCTTTGGCTCAACGTATAGCCAGTTACAGGGCAGTCAATAATTCATGTTAAATTAAAGGCAACTCGTACATCTTCTTAGCTAGGGTGTTGATTTGGATTTCGATTTGTGAGGCCAACATTACACTGTAGATTCTTCACGAGTGGGGTTCAAACTAGAAGGTTTTAGAACAACACAAACCACTTTACTGACAAGAACCCACTTAGTAGGAATTCATATCTTTTATCTGAAAGTTTTGACTATTTATTGGTACGAGCAACATATGAAGATCAAATAATTGAAAAGTGGAGCCCTGAGCCCGACCACCTTTTTCTCCATCTCCACAAATGAGAATCCCATGTCCCTTATAACATGGAGCCAGTTATTGCATCTGATCTTTGTCCTCCCTAATCTTATTTCTTTCAAATCATCATTTATTTACACAAAACATTGGTATTCTTGCAATAATCATTAACTTCCACGTGGACTACAACACCTCAAAGATATATGCCAATTGTCACAACCTACAAGTTCTTTGGTCCACGTTACAAACCTTTTAATCCACGAATTATGTGGTGCATTAACTGAAGTTGGATTGTTGTAATTAACTAATTTATGTTTCCATTTCAAAGATAATATAACTCGAAGGTGTGATAATGCATTTGCTCTAGTTCTCAACTTTTCTAGAATATAATATTAATGTTCCCAAGTCTAAAGCCAACATATAAACCCCACCATGCAAACATGTACTGGGTGATAATGGTGTATATAAGTGACGATAAGTTTTGGTGTTCAATATTCACACATCCACAAAAGCATTCCATAGTTAATCTATCTTCAAGATTACAGAACCATATATTCAAAAACTGTTATCGTTTTTTCGTCTTATAAAATATAAGTTATATAGCAGTTTTGGAGCCATAAACTGGTCAATAATGGAGATCAAATCGGTGGCGTGCGAGTGTTGTGGCTTAACGGAAGATTGTACACAAAAGTACATTAGTAAGGTCAAAGCTAAGTTCGCCGGAAAATGGCTTTGTGGGCTTTGCTCCGAGGCGGTGAGTGATGAATTCAGCCGTGATCAGAAGATGACAACGGTGGAGGAAGCTGTTAACGCCCACGTGTTGTTTTGTAGTAAGTTTAATGCCAACCCGGCTGAACTCGTTGCCGACGGCATGAGACAGATGCTACGTAGGAGGTCCGGTGAGTTGTTGCCGGCGAAGTCCAAGAAGTTTGGAAGATCTAACACCGCGTAGTTGTGTTTACACTTCTTTTTCTCTCATTATAGTGTTGGCTAATGTACAATATATTAAAATATATATAAAATCATCACACACAAGATTAGGACTATAGATATATTGAAGAGTTAACTAGCTTTAAAACATAACAAACAAACAATGGTGTAAAATATACACTTCGCTGGTTTCAAACAAATGGTGACATGCAATGTTTTCTTTGATTAACAAGGGGCACGTCATGTATATAGAATGACTTATACTAATCATCTATTCATCCACCTTATCATGGATGTACGTTTGGAGACTTATGATATGATGGATGAACTATCAAAATTAATATTCAATTATTATTGCGCGCTGATAATCACCTTGTAGTCTATGAAAATGGAAACATAAATGTTCATGACTTGAAAATAATAAAGGGAGGAAGGAGATACAGGGAAAACAATAATAAAAAAAGAGAAATGTGAGCAAATGGTATAGTCAAAATTATAAAAGTCAAACAGAATTTAAAAAATGTTTTAAGACTATTTATGTGTTGTCTAGTTGCTATCTAGTGCAAATTCTCTAGAATTATTTACACAAAAGATATTAAATTACTATTTTGTTCCAAAAAGAACAGAGAACTTAAAGATTTTTGCCCATTACCAGTAATCTCTGCAAAAACACAAGCCGTCTTTATAACGGTGAAACCTTGTTCGAGCTCTCACTATAATCTCCCCGTTCATACACTTTAGAGACCATATTAAACAAGTGTTACAATCCTCACATACTCTCAGATTCTTCACTATCCGAATAACAAGGCTCGAGTCTTTCTCTTCTTCTCCCTCCTCATTCATCAAACGGAACCAGAGCCTTTTGCTATGACATAGAACCAAATCCTTCTTCTCTCCCTTCCTATACATCCACCAAAACACTACCACAGTCTGGAACATAACTCACCAGCTTCAGTTCATTTACAACCTCTTTTAGCTTTGCGTAAATCTCATCTGATTCCTTATGTCTTTTGTCACCAATGAGAAACTCATGCGATTCCCCGTTCAAGTCAATCCGGCTAAGACCCTTCTCCTTTAACACATTCTTTTCCTCCATTCCTCGTCTTACATTCCTTACATCGTCCCATCTCTGTTCTCTCGCGTAAATATTTGACATTAGCACAAGAGCCCCGTCATGATCAGGTTCCAGCTCGAGAATCTGCTTGGCTGCAAGTTCACCTAGCTCAAGCATTCCGTGAACCCTACAAGCTGACATCAGTGATCCCCATATGACTACGTTAGGCGCCATTGGCATTGATTCTATAACCTCAAGAGCTTCTGGTAAACGATTAGCGCGACCAAAGAGATCCACCATGCATCCATAATGCTCAAGCTTAGGAGTAACGTTGTATTCATCAGTCATTGATGCAAAGATCTTCTTGCCTTCTTCGACTAACCCTGCGTGGCTACAACCATAGAGCACACCTACAAAAGTAACATCATTGGGCTCAACATTTTCATGTTTCATTTGATTGAATAAGGTAAGCGCATCATTGGCTTCCCCATGGATAGAAAAGGCATTGATCATAGAGCTCCATGACACTACATTCCTCGTTGGCATCTTCTCGAACACATCTCTCGCTGCATCCAAACCTCCACATTTCGCATACATGTTAATGAGAGCATTATTCACTGTCAAAGAGGACTCAAACCCGTTAAAACGCGTGTACTCATGAACCCATTTCCCCTTTTCCAGAACACCGAGGCTTGCACAAGCTGATACAACACTCCCCATTGCAATCTCATCAGGCTCTGTCCCATAGCGACACATTTCCTCGAAAACTCTTAAAGCTTCTTCAGGATGATCACTCTCAGCATAAGCTGAAATCATCGTCGTCCAACACACCAAATCCTTCTCCTCCATTTCGTCAAATACGTCCCTAGCATCCTCGAGCCTCCCAGCTTTTGAGAACCCGGAAACCATAGCTGTCGAAACAAACAAGCTTCTCACCGACATCATCTTATAAAACTCCCTTGCTATATCCATAGATCCTGCTCCAGCATACATTGTCACAAGAGCAGTCAGCAAATGAGCATCCATCTTAACATCATTCCCTTTCAAAAACTCGTAAATAACTCCGTTATATCTCGTATTCCCAATACGAGCACATGCGGAAACAATGTTACAGAGAATCATCTCATCTGGCATCACATTAGAACACTTCATCTCCTCAAAAAGCTTAAAAGCTTCATCTAAAAACCCGCATCGGCAATACCTGCAAACAAACTTAAAGTAAACACCTTTAGATAAGAAAAAACAACATTAAAGAATACGATTGCTAACCTCTCAATCATAGTATTCCACGTAACAACATCTCTATGAGACATTTCATCGAACACCTTGCGCGCCTCGACAATCCTACCGCAACAAGCGTACATATCCATAACAGCAGTCTTCACAAACGGGTCTGAAAGCGTGGCTGTCTTGAACGCAAGGCCGTGAATCTCCATACCCTCGAACAAGGCGGAGACTTTCGATGCTGCTTTAAGAATCGGAGTGAAACTGAACTGATCGAGACGACCACCCGCATGTCTGATCCTCTGGTAGAAGAGGATCGTTGCTCTGGGTTGAGGTGAACGAGAGAGGTTACGGAGAAGGAGATTGAAGAGGAAGGGTTTCGGTGGAGAGGGGAGAGATGAGAAGAGGGAGAGGGAGTAGTTTAAACTGATTGAGGAAGAAGAAGAGGAGAGGTTGAAGAGAAAGGTGTTGAGTTGGTGATGGTCGGAGACTGTACGGAGGATGTGGGCGTGGAGTTGTTTGATGTGTCTGATTGTTTTGCAGTGTGAGAGGATGTCTTGAAGAGCTGTTGAGGTAATCGGCGAGGGAGTGAGCATCTGAGAGTTAAACAACACAAACAACTTCGTTCAGACATTTGGTCGAACATCTAATGTACAATGCAAATTCATATTTCGAAAGTGTTTGTAATCATGAGAAAGCCAATTCTGATTTTTTTATCACCATAAATAGAAATCCAATCCAAGTCTTAACTATTTTACGAAAAATCCAAAGCAGAGGAAACTTACCGTTGGAGTTGCCGGTAAATAGTAAGAAGATGTAAATCGTCAAGGCTGTAATTTCTACAAACTCTTTAAATCCCCCTATTGGAAGTCAGTTATATATTTATAAAACTATAAATATATAAATAGTGAATATCTCAATTCACTAATTATTATGTAATCGAATATGATCATCAAAGACTTGGTGTAAATCCGCGTCCTAAACAAATTTTTAAAAACAAAGTAGATTTTGAATCATTAAAAAAATGGATCCAGCTACGTTATGGACAATTGCATAACACTACGTGACCTCCTCTTACTACACAACCTTTAGCATGTATTAATAACCATTGAAAAGTTTTTAACTAATCGTTCCTCCTTAATACAAACATGACTACTTTCCTAAAGAAGAAGCTACACCTCTGCTTCTCCTCCTCCGGTGTTCACTCACCGTCGATTCCTTCTTCCCCGATCGTCGTTCCCAATCACAACCCTCCATCTCCATCTCATAATCAACATCACACTACTCCAGCCTCAATCTTCATCAACACCTTCAACTCTCTCTACGACCACCTCTCCCTTTCCTCTCCCCTCCACCGTAACGATAAATTCACCTCCGTCGCCGCCGCCGCATTAACCACTCCCAAATCCGGCGACATTGGATCCAGTTTGTTCAGCGGCGGATTGCATCCTTCTCCGCGTAAAGCTGACGACGACTACGAAGATGAAGAAGACGAAGATGAAACTTACGCCGTCGTTTCAAAGCTTTTAAGCGACGGAACAGCGATTTTAAAGCACATTGACTCATCGGATCCGTGTAGAGACTTCGGAAAGTCGATGAGAGAGATGGTGGAAGCTAGAGAATCGACGAGAGACGACGTCTCCGATAGAGAGTACTTGAACGAGCTGCTCTTCTGTTATCTCTCATTGAACCCTAAACATACTCACAAGTGCATAGTCTCTGCTTTCTCCGATACACTTCTCTGGTTACTTTCTCCCTCGTCGTCATCGCCGGAGAGTTCTTTATCCCAATCGATTTGATTAATTTATTGTTTCGGTTATATTTTTAAAATAATTAATTGGGCCTTCAGGCTACAGAGAGGCCCAAAGTTGTAGCAACTCTAATCACTATTACATCTGATCGCTACCTTTATTATAAGGGAGATTTAATTAATTTAATTATTCCTCCGCTTTTTTAAAAACTAATGAAAATATTTAATTGGGCCGTTGGGCTTCTAAAAGGCCCAATACTGTATCAACTCTATTATAGTCAATGTTGCATTTGATCACTACCTTTAGATAAGGTAGAAAATAATTAAAGAAAAAAAAAAAAATCAAAACCGAGAAGATGTCACTAACCGCACAATTCTCACCGCCGGTCACCGGAATAACCAGAAGCCTACGGAGAACAACCTCTCCACCTTCCAGCAACCGTATATCTCCGTTTCACCGTGAAATTCGAACGCCGGCGATGATCTGTGCGAGGAAATCACCGTATCTTGTAGCTAAGGCAATCGAACAGAGCCGAGACACAGCTGGATCCGAATCCGAGCAGGAGGCAACTCCGTCACCTGGGGAGAACGGGAAGGGAGAAAAGGAGGTGGAGATAAGCGCGTTGGGAGCGGAGATAAAAGCGGCGATGGAGCAGAGGAAAGCGGCTGCGGAGGCGGAGGAGGGGAAAGGGAAGAGCGAGTTTCTGAGTGGAGTGGCGGAGGAAGTTAGGGAGATTGAGTGGCCGGCGTTTCAGAAAGTGGTTGGGACTACGGGCGTCGTGCTTGGTGTCATCGCTGGTTCGAGCGTGGTTTTGTTAACCGTTAATTTCCTTTTGGCTGAACTTTCTGATCGTGTGTTTATTGGGAGAGGTGTTCAAGATTTTTTCAGTTGATTTACGTGTATTTGAATATTGTGAGAAGAATGTGTGTATGAATTTGATTTGTATTATCATTTCTTATATCAACAAAAACTCACACTGCAAATTCAAACTTATTATTAACAGAAATTGGTTCGTTCACAAGAAGAAACAGAGAAAATAGAGTTTGATTTTTGTTGTCACATAGAAGATACAGAAAGAAAAACACAAAGACGCAATGAAACTGAGGATGAAGATTTTCTCTTTAGGAGAAACTGAACATCCCCTTTTTATTATATGGCGTCTCTAAATACAAAGAAATGGAGATTGATTTTTGTCCAGCTGAGAGAGACTATTCAAGCCTCGAAGGTCATGGATTCTGCTTCTTTCCTTGTGGCATCGAATAGTACTGTGGACAGGTACCTCTCTCCGAAACTCGGGAACACCGCCTGTAAACAACAAAACACTCATTTTGATTGCTGCTTGTTTCTTGTTTTTTTAGGTTTCTTCTTGACTAGGGTGATGACATAACCCAAATAACTTACCACGAAAAGCTTCCCGGCGTTTTCTGGCTTCTGTGCAAGTTTGATTGCTGCGGCTGCTGCTGCACCAGATGATATTCCCACCTACAATTTTTTTTAATAGATTTTCTAATTATAAACCTTTTTCACTATGAAAATTAGAGTTTGCAACCAACCTGTAACCTACAAACAACTGATCCTCCTAACATTTTGGTTTTTAAGACTTTGAATCTTAAGAGGTCTCATCCAAATATAAGCAACCAAAAAACAAGGATTTTATTTGTTGTGTGTGAGATGTGAATTACTTACAAGAAGACCTTCTTTACGAGCAAGAAGCCTTGCCATGTCGATGGATTCATCACTTGAAACCTGTAGAAAGCATTACAGGAGAAGATGTAGGGAAGTCAAGTAAGAGCTGTAGAAATTTTCTGATTCAGTAACATTCAAATTTTTTTGGAGATTAGTCTTTACTTGAACAACTTCATCTATAAGATCAACCTCCAAGACACCTGGTATAAAACCAGCACCTATCCCTTGAATCTTGTGAGGGCCTAGACATTTTCAGCAATCATCAAGTATGTTAAGCAACTTTAGTAATCAAAGAAGGCAAACAAGGAACATGCATGACCATAGTAATAAACAGAGATAGTGAATAAATAAATCACCTGGCTTTCCACCGGAAAGAATGGCGCTTTCAACTGGCTCCACTCCATAAAGCTGACAGAAGAGAGAAAACAAAGCCATCGGTTTAGTTTAGACTAAAGAGTATGATTAAAGAGCCAAATGAATCTCTTCACCTTCACGTTCGGGTTCTGTTCCTTGAGATACTTCCCTGCACCTGTTATGGTACCACCAGTACCAATCCCAGAAACAAAGCCATCGATTTTACCACCAGTGCCTTTCCAAATCTCAGGTCCAGTTGTCTCATAGTGGATCTACACAAAAACAGTTCAATGTTCAATAACAGAAAGCAACAGATTCATTAAAGCATGTAATAAGGCATTCATTACCTTAGGGTTAGCAGGGTTCTCAAACTGTTGGAGCATGTAACCATTGGGTGTTTTGGCCAAAATCTCTTCAGCCTTTGCGATAGCGCCTTTCATGCCCTTAGCAGGGTCAGTTAAAACCAACTCAACACCAAAAGCCAAGAGAATGATTCTTCTCTCAACACTCATTGAAGCTGGCATGGTGATAATAAGCTTGTATCCCTTGGCAGCCGCCGTGAATGCTAACCCAACTCCAGTGTTCCCACTCGTTGGCTCAATCAACACACTCTGAAAGAAGAAAGCAATAAAAAGAAGAAAAGTCAAACAAAAGGAACAAAGAAACTATTAGTGGTTTGGAAGGATCAGATCTCAAACTAGACCTCTCCTGGTTTAATCAGACCCTTTTTCTCTGCATCAGAGATCATGCTAAAACCAATCCTGTAACAGAGTGGAAAGTTCTCACATCAAAACTGAAACTCAAAAACACCAGAGAGCTCTGGTCAGAAGGAGAAAACCTGTCTTTGACGCTGGAGCAAGGTTCCATCATCTCGAGCTTAGCAGCAACACGACCAACACATCCTTCAGCAACGTTGTTCAGATACACCAATGGAGTGTTCCCAATCAACTGCGGAAAGAAAGAAAAAAAAACACAGAGTCAGTTATTACATAAACATAGAACATAACTCACTTTTGTCTTTGTAAATGAACGGTTGAACAAATAGAGAGAGAGAGAGATAGCTTACTTCGGTTACATCGTTAGCAATCCGAGAGGCCATGATCACTCAAGCTTCACTGCTTTATTCAAAAAGAAGAAAATTAAGTAACCATCCACAGCTAAATATTTATTTATAATCTAAAACACATCCAAACATAAAATCTTCAGATGATTTAATCACTATAATTAACATCGAGATTAGCTTAATCAGATACAATTAGCCGATCCATACGAACAGAAATAAAATCTGCAGAGATACTGAAGAAAGGAAGAGAAAGACGATGAGATACCTTTTTCCTGAGGGAGAGAGAAAGTCAAAAACGTTATGTTTGAAGAGAATAGAGAACGTATGGAAGAACCAAATCGTTTAATGATTTGATTAGATTATATATCATTTCTTCTATTCCTTTGTACAGCTAATTTGTCACATGCCTACTTTCGATATAATTAAAAAACGAAGGTAGTTGTTAACCAAAACTACTTCCCGGTTTTATATTAATCAGGCCCGGTTTATGGTTCAATACGGTTCAAAAGGGCCAAATATGGTTACAACGGTCGGTTAAATCCGGTTTAATATGGTTAATTACTTCGATTTAATAAACTTCACCACCTTATCTCCTTTGGCCACCTCAAGTATAGTCATCTCTTCCACTCAAC